CACGGTGCCTCAGTCGTGGGAGCGTCGGACCGCATCCTGAAGCAGTTGCGCGCCTCGGTCGGGGAATCGATCTTCGGGGAGGTCAAGGGCAGTAGTCGGAGCATCGGCTTCATGCTCTCGCCCACGCCCCTGTCTGATCCCACCTTCGTTGCCAACTCTGCCCCGCTCGCCGGTCAGACATAGGTGGGCCTCTAAGATGGACATGGTCTTGGTGTTCGAGTCGCTTGGTAAGGAAGGAGGGTCCGCCTGGCAGCAGTTTCAGGGACCCACAGGGGCTGTGCTGGCAACGCTTCGCAGGCTCGGCTGGACCCCGCCCCGCTGGGACCGTCGGGAGACGTCGGCTGGGCTGGTAGTTTACTTGCGGGAGTGCGGGGCCAGGACGGTCAAGGCTCTGGTGGATGCGGGGGCCAGGGATGCACTTCTTCGAGATCTGAGCCTCCAAGGCGAGGCGCTAAGTGCTGGCGATGTGCCCCTGTGCCCATACCTTGAACCGCCCCGTGAGGTGTGCCAAGATTTCCGCGCGTCTGGCAAGGCCCTGGAGGCCCCTCCCCTCGCCGCTGTGGCGTCGGGAGGTATGGCTAGCCAGGTTGACCTCTTCCCGGACAGCCGTTCGATCTCGACGGAGTGCAAGCTGCGCGGGCACCCGTGGGGCTCTAAGCAACATAGGTTTTACAATTGCCCTGCCACGCACGGGCTTAGGCAGAATATGGGGTTCGATCGTTTGGTCCGAGCTGGTGCCAGGGCGGTTTTGGCTGAGTGGCGCCTGTTCTACACTAGAGGCCCCATGGCGTCCCCCATCATGTGTTCTCCAGGGCCCCTGGTGCAGGAACCGCGAAGGTGGCATGTTTTCCCGAGGTCTGGCCAGCTGGTCAGCGTGATCTGCTTGGACGGCTCGGCTCTTGACCTCACTCTGCCGTGGTGCTCTCGAGCTGGTTGGTCCGCGGTTTCAGTGACTCCGACTGGCCAGATCCTGGGGAGCATGTACGCCCCCCTTCCGCACTCCCTGCAGACTTGTTCCGGGGGAGAGCTGTGAGCGCTGTACACGGCCCTGCTCAATGCGGACGTGGGGCCTCTTGCAGTTTGGACGGATTGCAAGGTGTTGATTGACATTTGGAGCTCTGGCCCAGACCAGGATGTGTCGCGTTTGGCGCTTACTGAGGTGTGGGGGAAAATCTTGGCCTAAGCTCGAGATATAGGCTGGAGCCAGATCCAGTTTTTTAAGATCAAGGCTCCTCTGGCCTGGAGCCAGGCGTCTGCCCAGGGGTATCCTTTCTACGTGTGGAAAGGCAAGCAGGATGCCGATCGTCTTGCGAAAAAAAGGGACCCTACTGCAAGAGCAGGCTGATCTGCTCCGCAGCTGGCACAGTTCCAGGATGGAAGGAAATCATAGGTAGGTAAGTTTCTTGGGTTGATGTTGGGAGAGCTGTCTCGGGGGGGCCTCAAGGATGTCGAGCGCTGCAAGTGCAGTTGCAAGGCTCTGAAGGCCCCCCGTGATGTCCCTCAGCTCGAATTAGTCGCCAACCCAAACGGACACACGATCTGTAGAGAGGGTAAGAGTTTTGTCTGTGAGTGTTGTGGAGGCTGGGGCAGGTCCAGATGTGCACTGGCGGCCTTCCCCTGCCCTGGCATCCCCGCAATTGCTGCGACGGCGCACCCGTCTCACGTTCTCTGGGTGGGCTCTGAACCTTCGGGGACGGTGATGTGGTGTCGAAGATGCGCGGCGTTCGGGGTTGCCCGCTCACGCTACTTGAACTACAGGTGCAAGCAGCACCCCCGCAATGCGGGGGCTGAGAAGTCCCTCGCCTTGCTCCTCGCGGACAAGGACCCCAGCTCGAGGGCAGTGTTCGGTCGGAGTATGTTGGTCCAGCGCGGGAGGTAAGGTCCTCGGCGCTGGCCTGGTGCAACGCACTGCCCTCGACCCTGTCATCCTTTTTGCCACGGGTCTTGCACTGCGGGATCCGTGTTGTTGGTGAAACTGGTGAAACAGGAGGAGGCGGCGGAGGAGGAGGACGCCGACGACGACGACGCCGACTCTCTGTCTGCGTGACGCCTCCCCCTCCCGACGACCACGCCGTGCCCCTCCGCAGGCCCGCGGCGCAGGCGTGCCCCACGCGCGCCCCCACAAAAAAAGGGCAGGGGGGGGCACGGGCCCGACGAGCGGGCGGGCGGGGAGGCTCTTGGCGGCGCGCACGAGGGGGCGGAGGGAGGGGGGAGGGCTTCTTAGCAGGAGGCTGCTTCCTGGAAGGCGGCGGCCCTGTATCTACAGGCAAGGACCGCGCCTTCTAAGCAGCAGGGGTGCGTCTAAGAAGCCCTCCCCCCTCCCCCCATCCCCTCCGCGCGTGGTGAAGGCGCGGCGAGGGGAACCCGGCGGCGTGCAGAGGGCTCGGCGGCAACTCAGCGGAGCCTCCCATACCATCTTTGTCGGCGCTCGCGAGCATCGACGCTGGTCGACGCTGCATCGACGACCCGTGGACGCTACATCGACGCTCATCGGCGATGCGAAATCGGCGCTACCTCATCGACTCCAGACTCCAGTCGCGAATCGACGCTGATCGACGCTAGAGACGGAATTCAGAGGGTACACCAGGCTCCCATGATTTGCCACCACAGAGAGAGAAAGAGAGAGAGAGAGAGCGTCTGCACCCGTGCCAGCCAGAGGGCTGGAGGGCTGGAGGCGCTGGCCGGAGGAGCTTACACGGGGAGCCCACAGAGGACGCACGCGCCCAACCACGTGCACAAACACGGCCCCCCAGTCCGAAAGACCAATCTCGTGATACGATCATTCGCGCAAGGCGTCCTCTGGAAGCCAGCGTGGATTTGTATGTACGTGCCCGTCTTTCTTTCGGGCCTGGATACGGGAGGAGGGGCGAGAGTTAGGTCGGGCATGTCCTCCTACAGGCGGATTTGGGAAGAAAACTGAAAAAAGTCAAACAGAGATTCAAACATACACACAAGATAGCAGAAAAAAAGTAGTCCCCTGACTATTTTTGGAGATGCATTTGGATATTCCTCCTGTAGAGGGACATGCCCGACTTTAGGCGAGGGGCGAAGTGAGGTGAGCCAGGGTGCACGGTTTCCCCCGGGCCCGTAGGTGACCCGAGGAGGAGGTGCAGGAGGAGGAGGAGGAGGAGGTGGAAGAGGGGGAGGGGGAGGGGGAGATGGAGGGGGAGGAGGAGGAGGCGGAGGAGGAGGGAGGAGAGGGAGGAGGAGAGGAGGAGGAGGAGGAGGAGGAGGAGGAGGCGGAGGAGGAGGAGGAGGAGGAGGAGGAGGAGGAGGAGGAGGACGGCTCGCCTAAGCCCTTCGGAGAAACCACCCATGTGAGGGGTCGGGGGATGCGGTGCGCCCGCCGGCGGCCAAGCGCCGCGCGCCTCAGCCTTGGCCCCTCAACGGCACATGGGCCGTGTGGGCGGCTTTGAGGTTCAGCTCGTGTGGCATTGCCGTGCGCCGCCACCCTAGGCCTTCTAGATGGGGTCGGAGTAGATGGGGTCGGAGCATCGCTCCGCATCGCCGATGCATCGACGATGAGGCTCGATGTGGAGCCCGTGTTTCGCCACGCCGACGGTGCCGATGCACCGCACCGACCACGTCGACGATGCATCGCCGATGCGTCGCCGATGCATCGCCGATACATCGCCGATGCATCGGCGATGTATCGACGATGCGGCGCGGTCCTGCGACCCCATCTACCCCGACCCCATCGAGGAGGCCTCTAGCCACACCAGTGGCGCGAAACGATCGGGCCGGGATTCAGGCGCGGCCGAACTGACCCCTGGCAGACCGTCCCCTTCCGTGACGTCACTAAGGGAACAAACAAGGGCATATACATGAAAACTCGGAGGTCCGCGCGGATTTCTCGGATCGGCGCTGGATCCCCCTTCCTGGCGCGCGAAGCGCGCCAGGGGGATCGAGCGCCGATCCAAGAAACCCACGCAGACCTCCGAGTTGTTATGTGTATGTCATTGTTTGTTCCCCTATATTTCATTGTTTGTTCCCCTAGTCACCCTCGCCCGTCAAGCTTCCATCCGGCCGAGTGCGCACGTCCTGGCGCGAGGCAAGGAGGGATGGTCACGGAGGGGGATGGTTTCGCTAACGGTCGGTCAGGCAGCCCTTGAGGGATGGGGCGGGATGGGGCTGGCCGGGAAAGGAGGAGGAGCTCTAGGAGAAGCGCGTGTGGGAGCAGGAAGCTTTCGTGAGGAGGAGGGGTATCCCTGTGAAGGACAGGAGGCGTGGCTCAGCGCTGTCGAGCAGGCAGCAGGCTGGACTCGAATGGGGCAGCCGGAAGCCAAACAGGACAGCGCCAATCGGGGTAGGGAGAGGAAGGGAGGGGAGGGAGCGAAGGAAGACGACGAGGAGACGGGGCGGGGAAAGGAGAAAGAGGAGGGATGAGCAGAGAGCGAGAGAAAGAGAGAGACGGGCACAGATCCCCCCATCCTCCTCCTCCTCCCCCTCCTCCTCCTCCTCCTCCCCCTCCTCCTCCTCCTCCTCCTCCTCCTCCTCCTCCTCCTCCTCCTCCTCTGAGGAAGGACCTGCTGCGCGCCGCCGAGCTCGGCTGTCGCTGTCCTGGCTCGGCCCGGGCCTCCAGCGGCCCCTGTCGGGACGGTCCAGAGGCACCTCCGGAAGTCCCTCGCGACGAGGCGCAGCTGCTGGACAGCACCCCGAGTGGACGGATTCCCCCGGGGCAGTAATTAGGCGACCTGAGAGAGAAGGGCGGGGAGGGGAAGGAGGGGGAGGAGGAGGGGGAGGAGGAGGAGGAGGAGGAGGAGGAGGAGGAGGAGGAGGAAGACAAGGAGGAGGAGGAGGAGGAGGAGGAGGAGGTGGAAGAGGAGGTGGAAGAGGAGGAGGAGGAGGAGGAGGAGGACGGGTCGCCTAAGCCCTTGGGAGAAACCCTCCACCCCGAGGAGCTGGAGACCCCTCCCGGGGATCGCCGAAGACGTCCGAGAAAACGTCGAGCTCCGGCGCACCTCTGCGGCAGCCAGCGAGAAAGGGCGGGAGGTTGGCTCCTGAGCTCGCCGGGCCACGCACGGGGGGCGTGGGGCCCAGCTGCGCGAGGTCGAACGCGGGCGTGGGCGGCCCGGAGCGCGCTCCGCCGGAGGCCGGCGGCTTCGGCCCGAACTGGGAGCGGCTTTTGAGGGGCCTCCCGCCGCGCTGCCTCCACCCTCCAGCCACCAGCCTCCAGCCGCCAGCCTCCTCCCTTTTCCTGCCATCGCTCGGGCGTCCCTTCCTCGTGCCTGCTTCAGTGTCGTGCCTCTACCGTTTCGCCAGATGGCCCAACATGCTCCTCGATGGCTCTTGCCGAAAAAAACACGTCCAAACGATGCCAAGTTATGTGGGCCCCAGAAACAACAGGGCCAACCTCCAGCCTCCATTAGAGCCCCCAAGATGAGGTCCGAAAAGATGGGGTCGATGGATCGCGCCGCATCGTCGATGCATCACCGTGCATCGGCGATGCATCGGTATTCAGAACATCAGGCTCTACATCGAGCCGTATCGCCGATGCATCGCCGATGTATCGCCGATGCGTCGCCGATGCGGCGCGATCCTCCGAGCCCATCTACTCCGATCCTATCATTCTCCAGCCACCAGCCTCCTCCTTTATGTGGGCCCCGGAAACGACAGGGCCGTTCTGCTACCAGATCCGGGCTCCAATATGCGGCTGTGTTGCTGGTTCCCGCTCCATGTTTTCCCTGGTTCCGTCGCCGTTCAGTTTTCCAATTCCGGTTTCGGTTCCAATCCCCTTAGCAGCATTTCCCAGTCTCGGGGAGCCGTTTTTGCTTCGGCTTGCATATTCCCTGAACACTGTTTGCAAACAATACAGATGATACCCTGACTTTCCTGGGGCCCGCTAAGCCTCAAGTCCTCCTCCTCCACCTCCTCCTCCTCTTTCTCCTCCTCCTCCTCCTGGCCGTCGTCGTCCTCATCGTCTCGTCGTCATCTTTGTCGTGGCATCATTATCCTCGTCATCATGATCATCATGATCATCATCATCATCATCAGCATCATCATCATCATCATCATCATCATCATCATCATCATCATCATCATGATCATCATCATCATCATCATCATCATCATCATCATCATCATCATCATCATCATCATCATCATCATCATCATCATCGACAGCATCATCAGCATCAGCATCGTCATCATCATCAGCATCCTCGTCATCAGTAACATCGTCACCATCATCACCAACAGCATGATATCCATCAACAGCAACATCATCATCACCAGCATCAGCATCATCATAATCATAACCAGCATCATCAGCATCATCATCATCAGCATCATCATGACTACCATAAAATTACTATCATACATAGCATCATCGTCATCGTCATCTCCGCCATGAGCATCATAAAGATCAGCATCAACAGCCTTACCATCCTCGTCATCAGCATCAGAATCATCATCGTTATCGGCGTCATCATGGTTATCATCATCATCGTCATCATCATCACCACCATTGCCATTATTGCCATCATCGTCATCATCACAATCTACATCAAATTCATCATCATCGTCGTCATCCTCACCATCATCGTCGTCAGCATCATCGTCGGCGTCGTCGTCGGCGTCGTCGTCGCCGTCGGCGTCGGCGTCGGCGTCTGCGTCGGCGTGTGCGCCCGCGTCGGCGTCGGCGCAGGCGTCGGCGTCGGCGCCTGCATCGTCGTGAGCATCAGCAGCATCATCCTCATCACCATCATGTCCAGCTAGCATCATCGCCAGCATCATCATCACCATTGCAATCACCATCGCCGTAACCTTCACCACCAAGACAAACACAATTACATCATCATCTGCAGCATCATCGTCGCCGTCATCCGCATCATTACCGTCATAAGCAACATCAGCATCATCACTATCACCATCATCATCATAATCATCCGCACCACCATCACCACCACACCCACGACCACGATCAGCATCATCACCCGCACCAATCATCCGCCTCCTCGTTATCATCCGATCCCTCGTGTCATCCTCCTTTTTTCTCCTCCTCATCCGAAGCACCACCATCATCACCAGCAGCACCAGCATCATCATCAGCAGCATCATCACCACCACCACTGCCATCATCATCGCCACCACCGCCATCATCGTCACCACCGGCATCATCGCCATCACCGTCGTCGCCATCATCATCAGCACCACCACCATCACCACCTCCACCTTCGCCATCGTCGCGAGCGGGCGGCGCTCCTCTCGGACCCAATCTACGCCACCGCTCGTTGGGCCTCGCGTTCGCCAAAGAAGGCCAAGGGTCACGACGAGCGTGGAGACCAGGCGGCCACGGAAACAAGGAGGCGGAATAGAGGAACAATTACTCCGACGGCGGGGCCCCGCATCAGAATCCTCTCGGCGAATCTGGAAATAACGAACTGCCCACGATGAATAACCCCCGCGGGAAAATAAAGTTCGGGGGCATGGCGTGGGTAATCAAGTATATTCCCGGCGAAAATGATGCTATGATGAAGGTGATGTTGATGGGGGTGACGATGACGATCCCGGGCGCTCGCGCAACCTGACCTCGAAGATCTCGGCTGCTAATTGCCTGCGCAAGAAAGGTAATTGGCGCTCCTGGCCAAGAAACCTCCATTGCGCACGGCCTCGAACCACTCGCCCACGCAGGCTCGGCATCCTTTGGAGCCGTCTTGGCGCGGGAGGCACCTGGCGCAGGCCTGGGCGGCAGCGCCTGCCTCCTCGAAGGTGGCGTGCTCGACCGCCGCGGGGTCCTTGAAGGGCTTGGACTCGGCCTTGCTCTCGGCGGTGGCCTTGGCCTTTGCCGCGGCCATATCGTCGTCGCTGGCCTCCGCGAGCTCGTTGATCCACTCGTTGCCTCGGGCGCACATCGCGCTGATGCTCGCGGGCGCATGGAGGCCCTCGCCTCGGATCTCGCGCAAGGCGCGCTCGATCCAGCGACTCGCCCACAGGCCGCGGGACCAAGCGCCGGCCTGGAACATCTCGCTGCACCTCGCAGGGCAGGTCTCGCCAGGGCCGACGGCGCCGAGCTCGCAGGGGATCCTCGCGGCGGCCTTGGGAGGCCACGCGCGAACCCTACCCGCGATATCTGAGGAGGAGGGCGGGGTTCACTTCGTTCGGCAGCCCCCGAACAGAGCGAACCCGAGCCACCTCCCTCCTCAGAATTCGCAAGGCGCGGGCGTGAGTTCGCACGTGGCCCTTTAGGCCTGCCTGGCGTTCTCGGGCGGATGCTCGAGGGCGTCGCGGCGCTCCGCCGCGACTCCCCGCCGATCCTCGAAACCTTAGCGGGCGTGGCTACATGCGCTCCCTGCCCAGGAGGAGTCGCTCTGAAACGGAGCGAGAAACTGCGGGCACCTTGGGGCAGGGGCAGATGTAGCAACCACCGACCTCGAGGTAGGTGTAGCGCGCGGGTGCCTCGGAGTGCACGCAGATCAGGGCGCGCTCGGCCTTGTCGACCCCCCCGGCCCAGCGCGTCTGCCCCCCGGGCTGCTGGGCGGCGGGCTCGCCCTCGCCCTGGCCCTCTCGAGCCGAGGCGACGGCCACCGCGGGCTCGACCGCCAGAACGGTCTCCGGGGCGCCCGCGCGCTCCTTGACTTCGCCCAGCAGCGCGCGCACGGTGCCCAGCTCGAGGGCGCCGCCCCTGACGATGTGCCCACAGTTCATGATCGCGTACTCCTTGGCGAGCTCGATGCGGCGAGCCAGTCTGGTCTGGCGCCAGTCGAGCGCGCGCTGCTCGGGGAACTTGCAGCCCTGCTCGATCGTGACCTGTGGCGCTCGGGATTCGCGTGCACTCGTTGGCTTCCGCCTGCGTCCGCTTCGCGTCGCTGCGCGTCGCTTCCGCCTGCCAAGCGCTGCGCCCCGCCGTCGCCCCGCCCGCAGGTGACGTCGCGCCGCCAGGTGCCCCCCGAGGTTCACGTCGCTCACTCGGCAGTGCTTGCGCAGGGCACGCGGAGCACGCCACGCTTCTCGGCGGACCTGGACCCCCTGCTCGGGTCGAACCAGCCCTCGGCTGCGGAGATGTTGATGAAGGCGATCCTGCACTTGTCCCCTGCGCTCGAATGGGCCTGGTAAACTTGCTCCTTCATGCCGAAGGGCGGTCTGCCAAAAGCTTGGCCTTCTCGGCCTCGCAGACTGCCGCGGCCACCACTGCCTGCGCCTCGCGGAACTTGCGGCGGAGGTTCTGGGTGCGTCTCTCGGCGCCTGCAGCGTAGATCTCGCACTCGTGGACGCGCGCTTGCCCCTCGCCCCGGAACTTGAGCCAGAGCGCGGCGGCGTCGACGACGACCGCGCTCGCGCTGGCCCCCTGCTTGGCGAAAGCCACGGGGCCCCCGACGAAGAGGCCGAGGTCCTCGGAGCGGCCCCTCGCGCACTGGTGCACGAACCCACAGTTGTAGTTTGGTGGTGGTTGTAGTAGTAGTAGTAGTAGTAGTAGTAGTAGTAGTAGTAGTAGTAGTAGTAAGAGTAGTAGTAAGAGTAGTAGTAAGAGTAGTAGTAATAATAAAAGTAGTAGCAATAGCAGTATTACAACTACTACTAGTGGTAGGAGTAATAATAGTTAGTTGCAGTGGTAGTGTAAGTAGTAGTAATAGTAGTACCTGAATTTTACTCGTAGTAGTAGTTACTAGTTGCAGTAGTAAGTAGTAGTAGTAGTAGTAGTAGTAGCAGTAGTAGTAATAACAATAGCTGTCACTACTAGTTGTTGCTAGTAATACTAATAAGTTTCAGTGGTATTATTACTACTACTACTACTACTACTACTACTACTAGTGAGTAGCGGTAAAAATTCGACTGGTAGAAATAGCTACTTGTAGTTACTGATAGTACTACAAGGACGAGTGGTAATAGTGATGGTAACAATAGTTGGTAGTAGGATTGATAATAGTTGGAGGAGTGGCCGTAGGAAGCCGTAGTGCTTACAAGTTCTGTTTCTACTACTACTACTACTACTACTACTACTACTACTACGACCACTCGTACAACCTGTCGGCCACGGCCCAAGTCAGCTCGGCCTGCTCGTTGCTGAGCGCCAGGCGCCCCCCGTCGGAGAGGCGCTGGCCCTTGCGCCCGCTCGCGCGCAGCCTGTGGATGACGA